ACATAATTACGAAATGGAAGATATTTTATGTTCTCGTACAGAGTGCCCCTTTTTTTGTTGTATATTTTAATGGCAGAGTCTTTGACCAAATTAAAATCAATTTTCCATCAATAGAAATTTTAAAGCGTCAATAATTTTTGAATAATTAATTATAGAAAATAAGAGCTTTCTTCTAAAAATAGATTTTATAAGATAGATAACGAAACCATATAAATCAATATACAAAAATTAGTTTAAAATAATTTTAATTTGTGGCATATTCCGCATATTTATAAATTAAACAATTATAAATTATAAATTATAAATATTCTATAATTAACTCGAGAATTTCATCAAATTATCATTAACGCAATATTAAGTGAAACATTCTGCATTACATATATTTTCGTTTTAATATTCAAATTTAATATTCAAATTTCTCTCGGGAGAATACAATATTCATGTTTTTGATGTGGTCTGTCAAAGTGCATATTTAAATAGATGCATAAAGTGATGTACAACGCTTAAATTCCAAATAAAATGGCTAATCTTCTTTGACTAAAAAATAATAGAGAGAGATATATGCTTAATTTTTCGCTGCATCTCAAATTCTCTACCATTATTGATATTTTGAAGTTAAGATATTTTGTATATAGACACATGTGTTACTTTAATATTTTATATCATAATACACAAGCTTAAGAAAATTAGGCGCCAATTTTTTCGTATAATCTACTTCTACTAGAATGCATATTTAACTAACAAAAAAACAAAAAAGACGCGAATGTTTAACGTAACGTAACCCGTAATTAGTATCAACGATTAAAAGCCTCGAACTAAAGTATAATTTTTCTGAATTTTTGTAAAAGTATATTTAAAAGTGGAGATCTTTTATTTAAATTGAATAACAAAAATGGAGCACAAGAACATCTCAAAATATATTATATTATGACGTGGAGTTGCACATTATTGTAACACTGATGTTATAGCGAATTCAATATTCCTCTATTTTATAGAAAAATTAAATTTGATATTCAAGCGTATCCGCAGTTTATCTTTCGAGTTAGAAAAACTCATTTTAATTTCAAACAGTTATAGACATCAAAGACGCGATATTATCGCGTTAATTTCGATGATGACCGGAGTGAAACTGCGAAGCTGCCGGTAGCGTGTTCGCAACTTTGCTCCGTGCGTGCGCTATCAATTTCTATCGATCATCAAACTTCTTGTTCGAAACGGGCGTCTCGACGCTTCCGACAAGCACCATCTTGCAGGTCACGCGATCCCATTCGCGCCCCCCAGTCATACAGTAATAAACAATCGCCCGGCGATCGACGGCTGAACCTTTACCATACACGACGTACATGCAAAATGCGTGACTTAAGTGGCCTCACGCATGACTCGCGACGATAAATCGAGTGGAATGTAAAACGATGCAAATTAGAGAGTACAAGAAGATTATTTTTCGCGTACTTTGTGTAAAAAATTCTGATAATGTAAAGATACATAAATTAAACAAATTGTTCTATTTTAATCTTGTTATTAATTAATATAATGTATCTATTTCTGTATCTAAGATGCAATTACACATTTCGGTACTATAGTGTTAATTATTTATGAAGCTACGTATAATCATATAAAAAAGGTAATATTTCGGCGAAAAAGAATTTTTAAGTTTTAAAGCTTTCTTTATTACAAAACAAATAAATGTGAAACAGGATTATTTGAAGTTAGTGATGATTATTTAAAATAATTAATCAAATTTTCAGTGATTCTTTCAAAACTAATTTAAATATATTATACAATGTCAGATTCATAAAATAAATTGTAATATATTTTTAGCAATATGGATCTTTCATCTCGCTTGGCTGATGATTATTCTCCGCACGTTTTGTATTGTAGTCCAGTAATGCAGTAATATATATACCGTACAGAATGATAGAAGTGTAACCGTCGAGGTCGCGACCGCGGTCCAAAACTTTACGTACGAATCTCACGCTCGACAAACTCAGAATCAACTTTATCGGATGATCGATGTTGAGCTTGATACGAGTAATTGCATTTTGCATTTGGTACCGGAAAACGGCGCAGACCGGATACAAACGGAAAATCGCGATTCGCGATGTACGCATGATATTCTGCCACTGACATTGTGTCACTTTCTCCCGGCTCTTGGTACCGCAAATCGAATTTAATCGATATCGAGGTATATATAGTTTATGAGTAACAGTAGTACACATGGAATACACGAAATTAATGGATATCATAGTATCTATAGATCCTGTAGCACTTTGCATAAGCATTTCAAAAACAAAATCTCTGCCGTAATAAAATTAATTATACAACTGTAATATATAAAATCTCCTTTGTTAAATCCGATTATTTTGGACAAATAATTTTTAAAATGTTTTGTATCCAATCGAATACACATATTTAATGTTTATTATTTAATGTTATAATGCATAATTATATTTGTCCATATTGACAACACACAATATGCTGTATATATCTTAATAAGTTATTAGGCAGTAATATGCGGAAACAAAAAAGTCTTGGAACATGATAAATACTATCATCATTTGCAACGGAAAACATTTTCAACAAAACGCGAACAATGCTTCCTATTGTATTATAAAAACTATTTTTGACTTATCTGTGGAACGTCCTTCTCTGTCACATCAGTTTTATTGCAAAATTTTACTGACTTTTCGTGCAACTATATTTCTTGTCGTTCCATAAAATCGCTTCTAAGTTTGATCTCATAAAAAAATTCACTAAATATTTATCTACAAACGCTTTGAGGAAAAGGATTGAAATTCAATTCAAACATCACTTTGCTGACTAATTTAAATTACATGATATTATAATTATTATATGTACGGATATATTATTTAAAAAAGTCTAAATATCAATGAATGTAATTAAGTAACAACTTTCACCAATATTTCATACATTTCGAGATTATTGTCTTTAATGTATTAACAAAGTTTTATTTTTTGAAGCGTTTTTTAAACGTTTTATGCGTGCCCCATAAATCAAATTCATAAAGCCTATTGGTGGATTAGTTACAGTGAAGAATTAGTCGCGGCCAAATGGATAACAATTTATGCGGATAAACCCGCGGACGCTCCGATGTCATATTCGATACCCGCGATTCCCGGCGAATCAGGAAATCGAATGATCTAAATTGTCTCTTTCATAGTTCGCAGTTTGCCGAACGAAACACAGATTTAGTGCTGAGTGCGGAGAAAAAAGAGAGGGAGACAAATGGAATACGCAGTTTCGTGGTCCACGATTTTCGTCGATTCGGCGACATTTTCTCCGATGGGTGGATACCAAAGTAATTCACACACCCATTGGGAAAGAAATACCAGTGCCAGTAAATTCTCTCGGGCCGAAAGGCACAATCCGTATTGTGACAAGCTAGACACTGAAAGCGAGTTCTATTCATGCGTGTTATTTTGCTAAATTTTACCCATAAAATAATTCATGGTACTAAGATCATCGGTTAAAAATTCAGTTGCTTTATTTAATTAATATATATGGATCAAACATCTCCATAAGTTTTATTCAAAATATGGCATGCATCTATTATACATAATTCCGATGTTGTACGTCATCTATATCATTCTATAAAAGTCTATATATAATAATTTAGTCATATCCTATTTTTATTATTTAAAAGAATATTAATAGAATTATTTTATTATTTAATATAACACTATGTTTATTTTTTCTTTTAAACAAAATAAAAAGTTTAAGATACTAAAATGGAGCAGTTGTTTCCCTGATATCTTACAGATGAATTTATTATACAATCTATTTTTTTCTTGAAAATAAAAAATGCTACATTTTTTTATTGGCAATTACTGCGATTGTCTTCGTGTGCCAGTTAAAATAATTAGATTCAAGTTGCATTCTCAACCCATGTCGCAATGCAGCCGAGATATTTGAGTGGCATTATTAATAAAATGCGCCGATCTCTGCACAAGCATTCAATTTTATTAATTGATTTATTACTATGTATACTTTAAAATGCAACCGTTTATCGTCGATTGTTACTATTAAAATAAAATGTACAAGCGTTAAATCGTATTAAAAACTTATAGGGATACACCCTGCCGGTCCATTTTGGTAAAGTCATGTATCGTGTTTCATATTGGTCGCCTCTATGATCGAGCAAATCAGTTTGCTATTCATATTAAGCATGGTATATTATGCAAACGATGTTGAAATTAACACTCACACATTTCTCTCGTTACATAGCAACATGTACGAGACCATAGGCATTGTCTATCGACCGTCAAATCAACTGTTTACCCGGTATATGCAAATCAGTAAATAACATTCTGTCACATCGACATTCAAATTGTGAAATATAATCATAATACAAATACACACACATAGTTAAGTGTCAATTTATTATTATATTATTTACGAAGATTTGAATTTACTGTGAAACTGTGGTTTCGTGTGCGAATATTATAATACACATGTAGACGTCACTGTAGAAAAATTCGCGATCTGAATAATTTGGATTTTATTTTAAAAAATAATTCAAATCTTTCAAATAGTTTTTGTAAAATTAAACAAAAAATGTGTGTAAAATTAATGTTTTATTTTCAAAGTTTAGATATATAATGGATTGAATGTTAATTCTTTCCTAAAGAGTTTTGAAGAAAGAAAGGAAGAAAAAGAAATACCTATAAGTTTTTAAAAAAATTTTTGATAATTAAATGTAAAACAGATAAAAATAACTGAAATTGATTTTAATTAAAATAAGAGATTATTACGTATTTTTGTACAACAATAATTAAACTGATATCTCATATATCTTTGGATTTTTATTTTTTACATTTACTCGCTAAAATTCTTTTTGCGGCATATTAGGTACTCTAAATCTTTTTGGAAAAGAACTAGAACTCTGCCAATTAAATTAGATAAAGCCGCTAAATTACATAAATAAAACTGCTAATTTCACAGAATCCACAGAGGTAAAAGAAACGCTTTTCTTCTTACAGACGGAGCAATTTGCGGTGCTATGGCTACTATTTGCAGTGATAGTCGCTGGTAACACTGCAGTCCTCGCCGGACTTTTACTGGGAAAACGTAGAAAATCTCGGATGAATTTCTTCATCATGCAACTGGCATTTGCTGGTAAGTGTCTTTATTTTTAATAACGTATAATTAAGAAAATTTCAATGCCTTGATATCTTTTGTAAGGACACATTAGATTAGATAAAGAATTCCACTACGTGTATTAACGTAATTTTTAAAAATTCTTCTACAACCAATGGAGCTAGAGAAGATAATAACGCGGTTTAAATAATAAAACAGCGTATTGATCGTAATTCTGTTTCATTTCCGCATTATCAATATTTGTCTAAAAGAGAATTGTGGACAGACTACTGTTCGTCTCTCCCAAAAACCTTCGCTCCCGATATCTGCGCTTCAGGCTCTGGGGGTCCTGGGGGATACGATAGCGCGTCCTCTTTCATGTACACGTTTTGTAGATAAACATTTATTTTTCTTTTTTCGCTGATGTATCTTTATGTGCAGAATATAGGAAACGAACGATATCGCACGTATGTGGCGTAAGATCTTTTCGTATCCCAATGCTGAGTACTATTTGCATGTATTGATCGAAGATGTGTATATGTGTATTTGTCCTCACAAGCGAAATAATATTAATAGAAATATATTTTCTTTGTAATATCGCGATAATCATGTGAATGATTAAATATTACACCAATTTCTTTCTAATATTTACACAAGTGTTGCAATATTGACTTAAAAATACAAGTATACGCATTGAAAAAAAATTTTTCTGCATTTTAGTAAATATTATTTTGCGTACCAGCTGTGACTCCGTTTAATAAAATAAAGAAAATTTTCTTCATTTTAGTAAATGGAGTCACAGTTGTATGCAAACTAATATTTACTAAAATGCTGAACATTTTTTTCTCAGTGTCTACTTATCATAATTAACAAAAACAATCTACATTTAACATTTTTCTAAAGTTTTGCACTGAGAAATTGGTATAACATAAACCAACTTGAACGTCCAATAACGAAGTTTACTGTTCACATACGTCCGCTAATAAAAGATATCGGACCAACTATAATGTCTATATTCGTACTTGCGCCAGAAAGCATTCAACGATAAAGTAAAAGAAATAGATCGTCTTTTTTACTGCTCTTCAGTTTAAATTTCAACTTTTACTTTCGGTATATGTGATAGAATTTAATTTTCATGATCTAAATTACCTCACTTTTTTATCCCATATATGAAAACACCGTCAGTTTGTCACATATATATGTTATTGTGGTCACGTTTTCACGAAATCTCTCGGTATTATATTACGGCTAATACTGCCTATTTTTCTTGCAATTATTCGTATAATAACTTACGACAGTAAAAGCCGACAGCAATGTATTTAAGTTAACGTCTGACGACGTTAGAGACGGAAGAGAAAGAATGTCTTTTATGCATAGCATAAAATAATATGTCACAGAAAATACGAGGAAAAATATGCATTTTATAACAGGCGTATCACAAAGATGTTTGTTGGGTGACAGTTGAAAACACTTTAAAGTAAACTTTATATATCTACACTCTACAGCTTAATGTTTGAAAATCAGTTGTAAGAAAATATTTTACTACTGTCACATAAACATTGTTAAAAACATTTAAAACACTATACGTAAATAAAAATAATTAAACTATCATGAGAAAACAACAGGATATATCCTAGTTAAGTAGTAAACTCGTCTTTATTTCAAAATATGTAAGAAATTAGTATAAATTAATATATTTAAAAAATATATATTTAAAATATTTGTTTTTAAAATATATTAGAAGATATTTTTAAAAATGCAAGAAATATTTTTTAAATTGTTGTATTTATTTAAGAATTGATACTAAATGATTTGGAAATCAGAATTTTAATTAGTTATCAGTTATTCAATTTCTTACAAAAGTGTTTGTACAATAAATAATAACAAAACATAATATGATATTTTGCTGATTTAGCGACAAGGAATGCCTACAGAAATGTCGTGTAGATTGTGTAGAATCTAGAAAATATGTTTTTACATCAAGCTAGATTTAAGAATATCTATTGGGATATTTCTGACAAAAATTGTCACTACAAACGTGCTTTGCAATACACGTGCGACATCGCCCTATTCCAAGAAAAAAGAGTCTCTCTAAGTAACAATGTTGTATTCTTGCGCGGCAAAAATGTGAAGCATACTTGTGAAAGAAATTGTTTGCTTTTAAAGATATATTAGTAGTATTTGATAAAAAATATTTTACGTAATATATAACATATATACATAAAAATATAGAATTTTTATTTGTCATTATTATTTTTAGAAACTGTCTCATAAAGAATGCAATATTTCTATGTAATAATAATTATTATAATACACACTGTGTGCATTATAATAACATAATATTATATTTATAGCTCTATATTCTAATAATGTACATTTAATTAATATCTAAACAGAAGCTATTTTTATCACTCGAATTTTGTAGCCTTTTTCTGTAAAGAGCTTTGTTCAATAAATTTTTAACTGCAAAAATATAGTTTTTAAGTTTTGTAAAAAATGATCTTTAAGTGTCAACTAACAAATTGCTATTAAGTTGTCAATGCATAAACTTTATCATCAGTCTCTTTATTTGTGATCTTATTACGTTTGTAAACTAAAGTTATCGAAGAAACGATAAAGCTTCGCTAATGGACAGTAAAATTACAATTCTATCTTTTTCTCCCATCTTTGTCTTCATTTTTACGAGAAATCAATTGTGCAAATAGATATAATACGAATCTTAATAAGTAAGAAGGTTCGAAATGTTCGATTAATAAAAGGTGTTCTTAATTTATTACTAATAATAACAGTGACTGAAATGGGTTTATAGAATTTTAAAAAATAAAAAAAAAAGATATTTTTTAAATCTTTTTAAAAACAGTTCTTTTTAAATAATCATTTCTCGGCAGAAAGGTTTACGGGGTCTCAAATGTTTATTTAATTGCATTGTGAATATTTCTATATTAATCATTATTGTTGTCATTTCAGTGTATCAACAAATAAAGAGAATATAATCAATTAAAATGTATTTTTATTAAATAATAAAATTCTTCTGCTTTAACCAGTCGTCTAAAATAGGACGCGAGCGATAAGCGACAAATAGAATTTGAAAAAAAGTTGAAAAATCCGACCACAAGTTACGGAGTACAAAAGTATTAAAGGATTTCAACGTTACCTAGGAACGGTTTAAGTCGGAAATATATGAGAGTTTCGCGAAATGCCATTAAATCGAATAAATTTGATCATTCCTATAAGAAAGACTTCCGTAAATGGAAAATGTGCGTGTTCTGGAATTTTCAATCAGAATATCCTTTTGCTAACTGATATCTTGAAAATTGAAAGTGCTCAGCGGCATCTCGACATTAAATACACCAAGACTTATATTTATTACGTTGCGTAAAGCACATAAAATATTACAGATATTCTACATGTTAATGTAAAAAATAGGATTTATATAAATTTTGTATTAAAATCATTAATCTATCCTGTAACACCAAAATGTTTCAAATTGTGAAAATCGTAGATAAGAAAATTTATATTTTTGATGAAAAAAAAACATCAGTCATTTATGATATATAGAACTATTATCCTGTGTTTAGTATTACAATTACTAAAAACTGTTTTCTGATTTAATTTATTTCTGGCATATTTCCGCAAACGCATATATTTACGCTGAAGCAATTATTCCACAACTTGAGCTTTCAATTTCGACATTAATATCGTGACCGGTGTTATCGAGTCGCAAGGATATAATTCGATAGTAATCGAATTTCTATTTTATCGATAAAATATGAGCAATAAAGTAGGAGGATGAGCCCTGGTTTATTTGGAAAACTAACGGTATTGAAGCTGTGCACTCTCTTTTCCGAGAATTTTCACCGAGAGCAATTCCGGGAAGCGTTGATAATATATATCTTTTGAAATTGGTATTAAGAAATTTGTGTTCTGCAGAATATTGTAAATTCAACATGCCATTTGTTTTTAGGAACGTTATAAATCCATAAATTTATGCTATCCGTCAGTAAATAAATTTCTAATTATCTCAATTTATAATTAAAAATATATTCCAAAATGGATACTATAATATTATTTGAATAAAGAAAATAAATCTAAAGGTTCCGTATATATAATATTAACTTTTGTATTCTTACTTTTCTCAGATGAACCTTAAAAAAACTTTACGATTTAAAATATTACAGGACATGGTATACATGACGTGATTATGTCTTCATGAAAAAATTTACACTACTTCAATAATTTCTTATTATCGCGACGTTTATGATACAGATGTCGCAACACAGAAATCGCCGAAATAACCAATGTACATTATTACATAACATTTGATCCTACTTTACGTTCCGCATGATAGTTCTTAAACCGTGCGTAAATGCAGAGCGACGCGACGTAAAGTATCGAAACGAGCTATAAACGGTCACATATCTGAGAGTTTATTTCGCGGTTAAAGATGGTATTTTCCGTAAACGTTTTCACGAGTTAATTAAGACTACGTCTGTACAGTTGCAAAAATCTCACGCTCTCAATATATTAATTATTTCACATTAATTAACTCCAAAAATCACGTAACGGTTTATGTAAGTTTATTTACTCTCAAGGTTTGTATATTCTCTTGAAATGAAGATGTCGACGAGTTTCTACAAGTTTAATGATCAATTCTTGTAACAATGAAAAGAAAATACAAGCTGCACTGTCAACTTTCTATCTAAGTCTGAACGAAGAGATTCTTCGAAATAATAACGAGGTGGCCTGTATCTTGATCTAGACTATATCCAGGTATCATATCCATCAGCGATTTCTCGGAACTAATAATCTTGATAATTAGTATACTCCATTCGCAAATGGTGTATCACACTTCGTCGCCATGTATCTTGTTGCAGATCTACTGGTCGGTCTAATATCCGTGCTAACGGACATAATCTGGAGAACGACTGTTGCGTGGTACGCGGGTAACATAGCTTGCAAACTGATAAGGTTTATGCAGGCTGTAGTAACCTATAGCTCGACCTACGTCCTCGTGGCTCTATCAATCGACAGATATGACGCCATTACCCGTCCGATGAACTTCTCCGGCAGCTGTGAGTACATTAGCGCGCATACGATCATGGGCCTTTAATGTTGGATCCCTTTACAAAGCGGTATCGACGAGCTAAACTCATTAATATAGTTCGGTTAAAACTTCGTGGAATATATTGCAGCGCGATTCGAGGCATGAATAGTAGTATTCAACTCCTCAAAGTCAAAAGACTATCTTTGCTTATCTGCCCGAAAATCTAATAAATGGAGAAAAAGAAGAAAAATGCTTGGCAGCTTAATGCAGTAAATTGTCACTGCAGAATTATGTAAATTTCATAAAAGAGAGATTTCCATGAAGAAGGACATTATTCTGAAGAATCTTGCAAACCGAATAAAATGTATTAAAAGAAAAAAAACAACTTTATTTTAAACTTTCAGTTCAAATGTTTGAAAATTAGTATAAACAGAAACGATATTAACATAAATTAAGAAGAGAATAAGTTTTAAAGCAAGATATGTAACACGAAACAAAATTATAGATCTATAATTAGCAATACGAAAAGAAACAAAATAGTCGGACACTATTTTTACGCCAATCTAATCATAACTATATGATAGTGGAGTTATTTCTGATACGTCAATATGCGCGATTTCGTGTCAATATGTGCTCGTAGCAAGTCAAAGACTATTTATCGATATCTATCAGCCAGTCGACACACTAACGGGGTGAGTGCAGTTCAACCCGCACGGTGGAGTGTATCCGCCCTCGTCTTTTATATCACTTTTGGCATTCTTCGGCAATCCTTTATTCTACTCCTATTTACTGTCAAGGAATATTGCTTTCTCCTGATGTGTCAGACGTCACACGTCTGTCTCTATACTCGCGAAACTCGTGATAGAATTACTGAGAAAAAAGCAGAGATAAAAATCGACGCTATCCGAGACTCTCTTCAGAAATGTCGTGTTCTCCATGATAGCGACACTATCAATATATTGATGGCCTGATTATTTCATGATCTGTGACGTAATATCTCCACCGTTCCTTTCAGAATTAATATCGCGCGCTTTGACGTCGATCGCGCACGTTCTCTTTTCTTTTTTTATTGACTACTCCTTTTCCGCGACGAGATAAAGGACGGGGGAAAAAAAAGTAGCGTCGCCGATTCTCTTATCTTTCTGCTGGTCGTATCGTCTATCACGCGGAGGCATCTCACGAATCGTTACGGGTATTCCACCCTAGAATAAAATTTATCTTCTACCTTCTGTACATCGATGTTCTCGTGGCTTGTCGATAGCTGGAATTACAGAAATTGGTAGGTGTCTGAATTTCTCGAGTATCAATCACGCTCGACCGTCGCTCGATACTTCATCGCCGGCGGATTAATACAAGAATTATCTTTGCCATTAGCCCGATCTCCAATATTACATCGACCGGTGTAAATTAAAACAGATTCAATTTGTTTGGAGAAAAATTTAAATTACGCCGTACCGTAAAAACGCGATACTCACTTTATACTTGCGTTATTAAAGATACATAAGATAAAATAAATTTAAAGATAATGTTTAATAAACGAAATGTATACACAGGCGAGGATTTACTTTGAGCACTTTTTATATTAATTTATACAAGCTTTAATTATGATTCTGATTAGAATTCAAAGTAGGTAGCAGTAAAATTAAGTCCATTAATGACAACCCGTGCGCTTGTTTCTCCAATGTCATTAAACAGAGATTAAAATGTCCGTGGCATTATCGAAGGGCCACAAGAGAACATAATTAAACTGTAGAACTATTATAATATTCAACCGGGATTTGCTTTAATACCAGATCTATTCACTGCGTTATGAATTTCCTGTACGCGATCATTCTTCCAATTATCGGCAAATTACAATTATCAATTGCACACCGTAATTATAATAGCAGGATTAATGGACTCGATGATGTGCGTTATGTAACATCTTTTTATATCGGTCTCCAAGCCAAGAAAATTGCTGACGCTGCTATAATTACATATTGTGGAAAAATGGCAGAATAAACGACGTTCATGAGGATAACGATAACGTGTCGTAATATAAAAAATCGCCACGTATATATATCATTCCCTGCGTCGCTCCGGGAAGCCAAATAAATGATTCGGTGTGTTGTAATTATGTCATATCACGCTACACTGCTATTTTAGGTTTCCAAGCCTATTACAGCAGTATTAGACATTTTCGTCCCAATTTTTCAAACCGGTTTCGCGACCTGTCATGAGCACCGTTCGCTATATAGCGTTTCCTTTTCGTTTTTTTCGAATCGCCGGTTGACGTGAAACCCGACATTCACGAAAATAGCTACGCTTCTTTCATACGTCGCGTCCAAAGTTGCGCAGGCTCGCGTCGATTTTCCGCAAAAAAATATGTTTTTATCAAAAAAACAAATTTGAAATAAACATTCCTCGTCACGCTTTTAATACTCGTTGAGCACAATTATTCTTGCCACAATATCTTTTTACTTATTAATTACAAAATTGATATTATAATGTGTTAATTGATAAGCATTAATTTTGATCGCAGGGTGGAGAGCTCGAGCTTTGGTGATTACGGCTTGGGCGCTGTCAGCATTGTTCAGCATGCCGATCATATTCCTGTACGAAGAAACACGAATACAGGTACACGCCTATTTCCTGGGTGTATCGAAACAATTAAAAAACTATTGCCATTCTTTTACATTTTTGTTAAAGAAAAGATCAACTTTGAATTTCAAACTTGAAGATGCTCTTGTACTTTTGAATATTATATTTTCAAAAGCGTATGTATTGCTAGATAAAGTGCCAACGTTATGCACAACTATTTTCTCATTTTTTAAAAAGATTCTTTGAGAATGCGAAAGATAAGAATGCAAAAGCTTTTGCGCTCACAAAACGAGCTAATCGCAAACAATCGTTTTGTAGGATACGACGCAGTGTTGGATCGATTTGGGCCCGATTCAGTGGAAAATCTACATGAGCCTGGTGAGTTTCAGTCTCTTTATAGCGCCCACCCTGATAATAGGAGGCTGTTACACGGTCATCGTGGTCACGATATGGTCGCAAGGAGCAGCGCTACGTCAGGGACCTACCAGAGATACTCGGAGGGCGTCCTCGAGGGGACTCATTCCTAGAGCGAAAATCAAGACCGTAAAAATGACCTTCGTCATAGTATTCGGTAAGATATAAGATATAAATCACGTTCAGAAATAGCATAAACGTAAGATGTCATTCTTACATATAATACATGATATTGAATTATATCTTTATAAAAAAAAATATTGATACAATTTTTAAATTGTTTCTATTCGGTCTAAAAAGTCGCATTTATAAAACCAAGCGGCAGAAATAATCGTACCGGAAAAAGTAGGTTATTATACAATTCTATTGCTGCATAAAAAGATTTGCTTTAAAGGAAATTCAGGTTTACAAGAAAATATTTTTAGTCAAATATTTATATAAGCTTCATAAAGTTATACTTCAACGTCTGGCGCATGATTTTATGATCACTCGTTACTCCTTCCTCAGTTCGTATAGGTATAAAGAGAGCTTTTAGGTCTTGACAAACCATTATATATATATTCTACTTTGAAGTACGGATCTTTCTTTTTTTTTCCTTTGACATACAACACGAGTGCTTCGTCGTAAACGACAATAACGGAAAGACGGCAGGCGTCTACTTCGCGGCAGTAAAAAGTAACAAGTTTCTAGCTCCTTCTACGTCTTTGATACGAAATTGGTGAACCGTTTTATTTGCATGACATAAAAGACGCACCGCATCAGAAAGATAAGCAAACGCGCTTGCTATTCGATATCCTTTGTATAAATCGAGCAAAGACGGAAGGGATCGTATATACAAATTATCCGAGAGAAACGTGCGTAGGCTAAACTAGATATGATAAATAAAATACAAGCAAAAAATATGAGATCTATTCAATTATTTCACGAAAGATGAGACCATCTTCAGTTTAATTAACTTGATCAATTTAGTAGTTAAGTAATGGACATTTTAGTATAAAAAAGAATTGCTCTAATGCCCGCGATAATAGGAATCTCATGAAAAAAACTGTTTTTCAAGAGAATTTTTTTTAAAGGTATATCTAACAAATATTTTATTAGTTTTGTGTGTGTGACGTTTGTGTATATTTTAAATCCCAATAAATGTTCTCATAAACTGTATCTATAACATTTTTATAGTGCTATTTGTCTTGGCACGCGGAATCTCAGTATGAAGTTATTTCGTAGAAACATATAAAGTTCCTAGCGAAACGATTATGGTTGATCGTATATTATTCGGAAACATATTACGACATGATTTTTTTTTAACGTGAATTGTTCTTGATTACAGTATAGTGTATCTAATAGCACATACACACGCAAACATACACTAATACATATTTAAATTTATGATTTTTATGACAAAGATATATATTATTTCTAAATTTAATCGCGAAATAATCGCTTTTTTTTTAGCAATCGTCACAATTATTCGTTCTTTTTACTTCACGTTAATAGCATTTTGATCGCAGTCCTAGTCGTATATATAAGAACATCGATGAGCCATTTCCGCGAAAGTAACATACCTCCTTTAACTCCTTCAACTCTGAAGAACGTGCACAAGAAATCACTAATCAAATTCGTTTTCTGCGATCGGCGACGATAAAATTTCTTTTTTTAACTGATGACGAAGATGCGAATTCCGACGGCGCTATAGAGAAACCGGTGGAATTCCTCTTTGGTATTTTCTGAGATCAGAAAAGACGAAACAAAGAAAGTTACGTATGCTACGTGAATTTGTGTGCAACGAACGCCGTAACGTATTCTTGTTTCGTGATTTGAGATTGCTATGCGCATAATATATTGCGTGTGTATTGCAGTTGCGCTCGATGCGTTATTTTACTTTCTATACCTCGAAATAAAGGAACCGTATATTTCCATATTTCGAGAAATTCTTCTATTTAACTACAGCAGAAAAATATGTAGAATTTTTATCTCATATTATAATTGTATTAATAATACACGTTACTATTAAATTATTTTCTTATTACTGATAGCTTGTGCGAAATTAGTAACCTTATTGCTATTGGAATAAAGATTCTCTAATAATTATATATATATATCAATCTTTAAGAATTATTACAATGTTATAAATATTAATACCATTTTATGGAAGATATCTAAAACTAAACTACATCACATTTTCGAAAATATCGCAAATTAAATTTCCTACATTTTTGTTTTAAAATTTCTCGGTACTCATTTTTCAAATTATTATAATTTTAGAGAATTATCTTTTCTACCCTAAAAGTGATAGTTTTAATATCTCGTTATTATGCGGGCATAAAAATGCTTTTCTCTTTTTTAATAATAATAAGAATTTTACTACAAAAATATATATAATAATAAAATAATAATAATAATAAAAACAATAATAAAAATTTTATACTAAATAAAATATAAGATTCGCGCGTATTTTTAAAACTTTATGCTCGATAAGAGCATAAAAATTATACGTTTTTAGTTTCTATGTTAGTTTCACTCCGGCGTTTATGAATTTCTTAAAGAATAAAGTTTTTACGTAACAAGATAAATCTTCTTTTAACTACTCATTTCAGAACTGCTAATAAAATTAGTACTATCAGATTAAAGAATTGCGCTAATATACGTATTATATTTATATTTATACGCCGACAATATATCGCCCTTTAATAACAAATACGTTTATTCATTGTTAAGGAAATGCACAATGCAATTATTTATTGCTTCCTTTTAAAACGTTCATATATTCTGATCGGTTATTACAATGGTGCGCAGTGCGCACTTATCGCGAATGACGAATCGAACAAGCTGTCCGATTCATGTTTAATCGAATTTTCCGGTTGTAAAATCATCGACCGTAACACGGTGAAAAATACCACACAGTTTCTAATTTAATAAATCGTAACGAGATGCGAGAATACACAATAAAATATTTCTACCGAAAACTTTCCATCGAGAGAAGTGGATGGATATGCTATTAAAATTCCAGGCAATAATTTTATGTATTAAGAAATTTAATAATTATATCCAATTATTTAAATTCCATTGCTAATACGCTTTTAATAAACTGTACATGCAATTATATTTATCAAACAATTAATATAAGAAATATTAGGTTTTTCATATACATTAAACCTGTAAATATATTCCTTATATTATTAAATAATTAATCTACCTTTCACACATTAACAAATATAAAATTATGTTGAGAAGTTCTATATTCATGAAATCAATTTAAAAGAGCTAAAATTGCTAAAGGAATGGATTTCTTATTTGCACATACAACCTACAAAAGTTTTTCAAAGAGTCTTTTTATATTATTTTGCTAAAATCGTTGCGAATCTTCTTTTTCAAACTAACGAGTGTAAACTGTAATGTCACTTTCAACCACTTTAAAAGACAATTTTCTTAAATTATTCTGCCGGATCACAGATGTGGTAGCATTCCCAAAATTATACATTAATGAATTCAATTACATCGTTTTTCACTCTTTTTTTTATTTGTCGTTAATGCATTAGCCATGTTATTGGAAAAACAAAGTTCGCGTAAGTGTTCTCAAACAAGAAGTGAATTAGCCATGAGAACCGTTTGAAATTACTTTGCTTTTTTTAAAAAAAAAGTTATTCCATCGTGTGTCAGATGTTCACCCATTTTCACGTTTGACAACTTTTCCCTGTTAGTAGTTTTTCCAATATCGATGTTACAGAAGCAGTTCTTAACTCTCTTTTTGGTCACAGACGTATTAAAAAATGAAGGAAGGCTATATATCCCGTCCCGAATAATATCTATCAATATAAGACTTTCTAACAGCTTCCGACTTTAATTTCCGCGAGAAATTGTCTGATAAATTTAAAGCGGACTTTTCTTTAGCGAAATTGTACCCGACAGAAGTTTAGTTTTTCAACTTTAAACGGAGAAAAAGAAAAAATCCGAATTAATTTTAGCACCATTAAAATTTCAATAAATTATCAAATGCTTTATGCTATTATTATAAAATATCCGGCATAGTATAATCAACAAATACTTCGTTTTATTGTCTGTAGTCTATTTGATAATTAAAAATAAACGATAATTCATTAATGTATCGGAAGTCAAACAAAGGCGTTCTCAAGAAAAAAAGAGATTTGGAGAAGACTTGAACTCTTTTATAAGGTTCGAACGTTTTATCGCCATAGTAACCAATTCAATGGATATATTTTTAAATCGCGGATGTAAAAAGCGTTTGCAGAGATGAATGCATTGGACGGATTACTATTTATCGATCCGTTTGCTGAAGCGGCAAAATGTTTGAATTTAGTTAAAAATCTTTCTTTAAAATATAATTTCTTAAATATTAATTATTTTATTTATAACTATAAAATTATTTATATTATTTATATTAATTATATATTATTTACATTGAGATTATTCTATTATTGTGAATTCCTTTAATAGATTTTATATTAATTAGAATATTTTAGAGATTAAGTAGAAAAAAAGATCTTACAAGTAACACTACCCATGTGTCAAACGCCGATTTTTTTGAAACTGTGCACGCATGTAGAACTGAAAAATATTTGTGTCGTTTTTTTTTATTTTTTTTATTTTTGCTCATAAAGCGTTTTAAAAGTAGAAACTATTCTCGAAATATTATGTATATAGCAACCCTTTAGGCCATGTACGTTATCTCGTATGGTTTTTGCACCAGAATTCTATCTCTATATCTATCTCTCAGTTATTTTTACAAAAAATTGACCAGCAACGTGCATGGCCTAAAGGGTTGTTATACATAGGATTGAGAAAGTCAATATTTCGAGGGTAGCTTCTACTCTTAAAACGCATTATGAGTAAAAATAAAAAAACACGACACAAATATTTTTTCGAAGTTCTACATGTGTGCACAGTTTCAAAAAAATCGGCGTGTGACACTTGGATAGTGTGTTACTTGTTAGTAGGAAAATAATACCAAAATCGCGAATAATAATACCAATAATTTGCGAATTATAAGCGATCAAAACGATCAATGATTGCACACACATATAATCTATCTTCATAATCACACGTACTAACTATTTTATTAATAATCACCGACAACATTGATTTTTATTATTGAACTGATTTCGTCTTTTAATTTCTTTGACGTGTAACTATATATGTATACTACAACAATCAGTTAATATTGAGCTGATATGAATGGATGGGCTTCGCAATGTTAAACTAAATTTGGCGTATTACAAGAATAAATACAACTAATAATCATGTTAGTGTGTTTGCTTCATTGAATAAAGTAATTGAAATATAATACAAATGGCTATATAAAATATTTCTTGTCCTTTTTTTATTTATGTAATAAATGTACATTAAAGAAGTATTTAATAAAAATGTTGCTTTTTCTTGCATCAATTTATATAATATTTAATCCTGGAAAAAAACAGAAGCCAAACAAAGACTTTAAAATTTTATTTAAAAAATATTTGAGAGGGAAAAAAAGGAAAATAAAGCAACGTATCTAGTAATTAACAATTTTATCTTGTTTTATGATATAAAAAAATAAACATGCTGTACGTTTCATCATCCATGAAATACCATAAAGAAGCTTCTAAGTAAAAGTCTTATATTCTAAAAATCTGTCATTACATTTCTTATTATTTCATTTCTTTTACTTTAAAAATTGATTAGTTATAAAATATATTTGATATTAAAAAATTGTGCAAATAATCTCATTAATATATCATCATAGTATTCGTTAATTATGTAGTAAAAATCTTTTCTGTATATAGAGTTTTTGGCAAAAAGTGCAATAAATGTGACATCTTTATCAAATAGGAAAACTTTTCTTTTGCGCGAATAGTACTTTATCATTATTTATCACTTTTTGCTAAGCTTGTTCTATTTATGAAATATTTCCTATAATTTTTATATTTATGCTTGCGAGTTTGTCCCATAAATTTCAAGCGACCAGTGTATCTGACAATTAATAATCTGTATCGTAAGATACCAGAATGTGTCAATAAATGTGTCGCTGAATTACAGACCGATATAATGAGTCTGTATATGCGCAAGTGCATCCTGATACGTATGATAAATCGACGGATAAATGTGCACACACTCCAGGATTAAATATTAATACTGATCTCGCTATTCTAGCCCATCCATTTTTAAGTATACAATGAATCTATGAGCTATATATATTTGTAATATTTTATATTCTTAAGTTAATACATCTATATAAATATATATCTAATAACTCTTTTTTCATAGATCCATTGTCCTAGATTAAAATAAAGAATTATTTCACTCACCCATACGATGCGCAACGGCGGAGTTCGAACTATGTTGCTACGTTGATCTGTAACATGCAATTATAAAATGCAAATTATAACAACATCCGAAAAAAAATTTACATTGCTAAAAGTAATTATTGCTCTCGTGGAATTTTTTGTTCGTCTTTCAAAGGTATTTAAAATAATTGCGTAATTTAATTTCCGAAAAAAATGTCTTCTTTCCTCCTGAGTACAAAATTTTATATGATTTCATAAATAAGAGTCATTTTCCTTGCAATTCTTATTTGCGAGTTGTCCAAGCAAACGATTAATTAACAAGAACATACAGGAATAAACGACTAATAATCTTGCAAGTTATAATACGCAAATAATAAATGCTCACCCGATGGTTGCTCCGCCGTCGCCCGATGCCTCCCTGGGCCTTCGCCTCCTCTCATCGTTTTTCCTTCTTGTTTCTTGTTGCTCACACTCACTGCGGAAACACAGTAAATTACGGTCGCGCATTAATTATTAGAATACGATAATTGCGCGATATTTTGTGCAACACTTCCAACATTAAACCTGCGCGATGCGCGCTTTATATCGCGACAATAAAAAAACTCCAAGAAAATACGATCATATATGCAAAATTATGGCCCGCAACATTTCATAAATTAACGCATAACTCTCGCGAAAGACACATATTATATACTATTAATGAACAACGGATATATTGATAACGCTGTTCGTTCGTTCTTTATATTCTTATATATAATACATATTCTGCCCCAAGCTAGTTTTGATGAACGGATTATATCGTCGCTTTTCGTTACAAATCAGCATTCGATAATTCGCCACACTTCGCGCTTTCAACCCCAAAATGATATACGGAAATAAACCGGAAATATCGAAAAATCCGAAGCGTGATAGGAATTACATTTGAATTCAAACGTTAAACATGCAATTATTGTCCATGCATATCATAAGGAAACATCAGTTATAATTCCATCCACGCGATTTACTGCGATTCCTGTATCTATTACGTATCTGTAACCGACAAGCAATCGGCGTCCAGATACATTCAAGAATCGTAAGAATTAATCGTGATAAGTGATATTAGTTAATCATTCGCAGGAAGAGAGCGCGCTTGCGATAGGACTTGTCTCGCATTCCGAGCGATAATGATACGCAGGTCGCGCCGATCGCGGAGCGGCTCACGCCTCTGCCTACGTCACGACGCGTCATCGGTGTCGCGCGACAACCTAGGTATAAACACAGCGCGCTCTGAGTGGTATAAACAATTACCAAGGCCAGCCGCGACACTTTCGCCAACGTATTTACGTACTTTTAAAATATAATATCACACCGAGCATACTACATTCTTTCTTCACTCCTCCTTTATGTTCTTATAATTATATCTTTCTGTTCTAAGTTCTAAGCTAGTTTTAATGAACGGGTTTATATTGTCGCGTATTACGCGCTTCGTTTCGCACATTCATCAATCGCGTTAAATAACGTTAGAAGATTAATTTCGCTTGACTGAGAATCTCATTAATAAAAAAGATTATTTAATAATAATCTATATCGAATAGTTAAAATTTGCTTTCAATAAATAATATTAGTTGATTGTTACAATATTATATTATCGATGCAAGAACCTACGCAAAATCAGCTGGGCTGACAAATCAATAGATGCTGGATAATGCATGTAATACGTAAATACGTAAAAACTTTATGTGACATCAATTTTGACTGCCTATAATTTAAAAACTATTGTTCGTGATTGACGTATCGACATTTTCATATTAAAATCATGAATTTTAATTAATCTCCAGGATATTCTATATTACAAAATTCTAAAGATTAATGTATACATGTAAACAGCATATCAAATTTTAATAGCATATTTTGAAAATTAATTAAAGTAAGAAATCAGCAATTTAATTTTACTCTGCGATAAAATTATTATAAAATATTGTCGTCAATAATATTGATAATGCAGCACAGTTACGAAATTAGCAATAATATTTTATAATAATTTAATGCATTCTAAAATTAATATTTTATATTAATCTTGCAAATATATAAAAGTGCAAACTTTTTTCATTTTTTAGAATTCTTAATAATAATTACTTTGTTTTATTTTAATTATACAAAAATAAAAGTTTTATCTATATTAATTGTTTCTCTTTACATAACTAATATTTATTTCACTTTTTTAAACATATAGATAGTTATATACCACATATAAAGAATCCGTTATGTATTTTTATATTTTATTGCTTAAATCTATGCCATAAATACACTTCTTTGCATTGTTCCCTTCCTTTTTGTTTCTCTTTTCGATTTTTTCGAGATTTCGTAGTTTTATTTCATAAGCTTTTCTTTTGCACAAAAAAATAGAAAGCATCACGAGTAGGTACGTGTTATCTCTAAAACGGAAGCCGTCACATAAATCAGAGCGGGTCTCGAAAGAGACAAATGGAGCGTTTCGTTATTTTAAGTTCGTTAGGTTCGTTATCTAAAATGGAATTGGCGGAAACTTCGAGCTATCGCTTTGTCAGGATTTTCGTAGTACTCCCGTAATTTAAGGTAGAAACGGTAACTCTTTCAATTGAAAGCGGCGCGAATAATCGCGTTTTATTTGCAGCACACTCATTGACGTTACAATTATTGTTGCATTCTGTCAGATTAATTTATTGCATAACGATTATGAAATTATTGTTTTAATTATTGATTTGAAATTTTACGTTTTAACTTTCCTCATTTTTAGCCATGTGGTAAACACTAAACATTGTACATTCTTATCCTAATATTTCTGCAAATTTCGGTTAATTAGCTGCTCTGTGCGCGCGAGACATAAATTATATAATACATAGTACTCACGCGATGTAAGCGAAAATAATTCTGTGTTTCAGTATTTATCCTTTGCTGGAGTCCATACATAGTCTTCGATCTCCTTCAAGTTTATGGGCACGTGCCAAAGACTCAGACAAATATCGCGGTCGCTACCTTCATACAAAGTTTGACACCGCTTAACTCGGCCGCTAATCCAATAATCTATTGCCTCTTCAGTACTCCTTTCTGCAAAACCGTACGGTGAGTATATGTTAATTGAAATTGAATTATGATGATTATAATTATTTTATACGTGTAGTATAATATATTAATCCTCGCTCTCCGAATTTGTTTAAAACTTTAATAGCGCTTTTCTTATTTAGATGTGGGACGTAAATTCTTAAGATACATGTGTACTAATATTATAAGTAATATTAAAATCTTAACGATATAATTCTGTTTTATAAAATCGATCAGAATAGTTGTAGAATTTATAGATTTTCTCCCGCGTAACGCCTTAAGTTTCACACATTCAAAGCGACATCCGCGGAGATGGCGACGTTTCCCCAGCAACTTTTCGCCGCGGAATTTCTCCGTTAAACAGCAATTGTTGCTCGGTAGGAACATGCAGGCAATCTCCTGGATTTCGGGATGGTGCCCGACGAATTCGCATCACTGCTTCGGTACCGGGGCGACGAATAGCAGCACGAGGACGACCGTGACAACATCTTTGACGGCCAATTCCTCCCGCAGAAGCGGACATTTTACTATGTTGCACTCTACGTCGCGAAAACGCGTCATGGTCTCTTTAGTTTAAAGATCGTGATTTTCGGAAAAAAAAACGATCGCATTGATTTATTAGCAAATTGATATTCTAGATCAGTATTCGGAGCGGACTTGGTAGATAATTTGCTTTTGCTAGCGATTAAATCGATTATTACAGAAAAAACACAAGTCACTTTCTTTAATAATTCAGAAAGTTTATTTTCCGGAAAGCTTTATTTAAAAATATATAATGAATATATCCAAACCTAATTTTTCTTATATAATAATTTTTGTAAAAAAAAATAGAATAACAAGCGATTGCAAGAGCTTTCTTATCATTGCACATTGAGAAGTTTCTACTTTTGTGATATATGCTTTAACGTATCGCTTTATGCACATCTTTTTCGCAAAGACCGATTTTCAAGGATTGTAGAAATCTATGTACTTCTAATAATGCGTGACTATCAAATGACAACGTAACTTGGCAACGACTATTTTAATTTAGAAATAAGATTAAATGATAGTCTTGAGTTGACGTAACTTTTTAACTCAATAATTGCATATACAATAACTTTATATTTCTATACGTGAATATTGATTATAAATCTCATGATCTCATACTACGAAGTTTTACATAACATGATCATTTTATTTCCTTTATTAACAAAAATGAAAAGATTCAAAACATATAATTATTTCGCAAAAATCCCTCCAATTAGTTTAGAAGCTGTCAGTGATAATATTTAACTACCTAATTAAAGATGAAATAAAATTAAAACAGCAAATGTCTGTATCCATGAAACTCAATGTCTGTAATTTTAATTTTTAGAAAATATATACGTATATCTGAACATGTATACGGGTATCTCAGAACTATTGTTATTATCGAAAGTTATAAATAAAAATTAAATTTAAAGAACGCTATGTATCTCGCATACATTCGTGATCAAATCATTATTACTTTTAAAATTATAAACGGTTAAAAATGTACAATTCCTTATGAATTAAGTTTAAAAGTTATAAATAAGTAACAAAGTCTTATTTATTTACTCTATATTTAAACAGATGTTACATGTTGCATCAATAAATAATTTTAATTTATAGAAAGCAGTCATGTAAATATTTCTAATATTTGACATTATAAAAAGTTCTAAATTTCAAGAAGTTTTCAAGTAGTATAAAAGAAATTTAAATTTTAAGGCAAAGTTAAAAATTTTCAGATTTATTTTAATAAAATTTCTTTTAACGAAAAATAAACTTTATACGAATTACAAATTAACCGTAGTTTAAAGAAAAGATATTGTTCTGAAATACCTTGTATATAGAGTTATTGGACATTACGTAGTAAGTAGAGAGAGAATGAGAGAGATAAAGAGAGAAAAGAGAGAAAGAGAGAAAGAGGTTCAATCTTGTAACGATTAAAAATTATATAAAAGCAAATGAAGCAACAAAAGCTAGCAACTACTTTTTCATAATATTTATCTGCGAAGAATTTCCTATAACTTCCTCACACCGTCCAATAAGAAAGGACTGATAAAGCTAGGTCTTTTTTCTTAATATATAGATTAATTCACAAAGCGCGCAACGCAAATTATATATTCTATTCACTATCGCGATTTCGTCATTGTGCAATAAAATAACGCATATATTTTTTGAGCTTAAAAGTTACTTGAAAATTAAAACTACTTTTCCCTTATTCGAAAATGTCGTAAATAATACAATTTTATATGTACCTATATGTATTAAGCACTACGAGAAAGCAGTTTAAGCTATTTCGTTTAAGCTAATTCGAACTGATTTAATATTCTAAAACGTTTGTAAAAAACGCCAGTATACTATTCGTCTATTCTATTTTTTTTTCCAATCACCAGATGCGTAAATCTGTATTGTGAGTATGTATGTCTATGTGTGTGGAGAGATGTATAAATATAAGCGCCTTTTTTTTTCAGCTGAAAAAGCAAGTTTCAAGAGAAAGACCAAAATCACGTAGTTCCGCGCATTACCAAGACAAATTAAATAAATGAATATAAATAATAGATCAAATTAAAACTTATATGTAAAATAGCATACAACTCTGATGTTTAATGAAATAGTTCTTATCTCAAGAATACACGAATTATTTATTTGAAACTATTTTTTTACCGTAACATAGAATGTATTGCATTGTTGCGATAATCGTAGTACCGGAGCCTGGATCTAACTATAACTCAGAGCTTATTTTCTTGATTACAACGATATAAAAGAATGTTAAAATAGGTCGTCATTATCTTCAACTATCTTCTTCTATTTTTTTTTTCACAGAAATTAGACTTAGGAAACTGCGTAAGTAAAAAATAGTCATGAGATAGTGGTAGTTTAAAATGACTGTGTATGCGCGTCAATAGTGTCATAATCATTGATATCAGTATTAAGAAGAATACTTGAAATGCGATAATAATGTATAGATTTCCCGTTACTTGTGCGATTTATTAATTAAATTAGATAGATTTATTTTTCGGGCTCGATCGATTGTCAAAGATACCTTTTATCCTCGTCTGTAATTTTTAATATATTTCATTTGCTTATACTGGAAGTATGTGATAAGTATCCTTTCTCGTGTATTTTAAGATCGCTTGAATCTGTTATTAAAATCAAGATAGTGGATTCTGGGATATCCTGCATGTATGAATAGAGACATGCTTTATAAAAGAAATATATTCAAACTCTTAAGCAATTCTCTACGGTATACGCGTTACACATCGCGCGTGTATTTTAATAGTAATATATTTTTTACACATTTTTTTATATATTCCTAAAAAAATAAATAAATATTCTTCATGTTTTTAAGGAACCAGGGTAGAAGGTATCGAACTAGCCATCGAACAGCCTATGTGGAAAATAATACGCTCAAAGTATACGTGTATATACGCATCTACGTGTATAATGCAACAAGCTGAACGAAACTATCGCGTGTATATATATATAGTATATCTCCGTAATGTAATACATGCATAATGGCGTGTAATATATTAATGTGTAATATATTCTTCTCGCGAGAGCGCCATGACCGTTTAAAACGTCAGAACGTGATTCTCCGCATGATCTCTCCGCGTTATGATTTACGCGGTGGTCCACGACGCACTTTTCCGGTAAATTGATCGGATTTGTACTGCAAAAAATGGTGGGATAAGTGAAATATGTATTATGATAAAATAGAGAAAGATGCTTATATGTAAGATTATACATGAATCCTGGTTACCGGAGCATAACGTTCTTTCCTACGAAGTTACGTTTCCGCTATTATAGATGATCGCATGTGTACGAGTATAATTATAACTGTTCGATCGTCAGTGTGTCTTACTATTCTCTCATATAAGGTGAATTTTCAATCAAATCTGTCCGAAACTGGGATATAAAAGAATGAGAGAAATTACATGAATATCCTGTTATGTGACTATTTCCAATTAGATTAGAGGGACTGAATAATTATTACACTTTATTTGCAGTGCCTGAGTAAGTACGCGACGTACGTTTATACCTGATCTTTTAATACTTGTCTAATAAACTTAGATTTCATAATATGAGAGACAAAAAATGTATTACTTTATTCTTTGCTAAGACTGATTTTTGTAAGAATTCCTTATGTCTTCTTATTAGTTCGTCAATAATTTGATGTAAATGCAAAACTTTTTATGTGCGATAACACATGTTCCGTCTGATCTATTTGCGTGTTTAATTTGCCAATCTTATTTATTGCTAACTACAGAAACTCTTCGCTAAACCTTGACTGTTAGTCGTATCGCAGAACTAAGATTTTCATGCCAATGCGCGAATTGTACGTACAATGAGTACAACGATGTATATGTAATGTATCTTTTGAACGCGTAAATGTGTAGACTGGTATGTACTTGTAATTCTACTATTATTAATCACATCGTGTAAAAGAGGAAGACATAAATTATTATGATATATATTATTGCGCGATGTGACATTGTTCGTATACACATCGATAATGGGTACTGTTTGTAGATAAAAGTGAATAAAGCTATAAATTATTTAATGCAATCTTTAATTTTGATGTATGATTTATAAATTGTACTCTTCTAAATGCATCATTTCTTCCCACTCTTAATTATAAAAATATTCTGATGGAGCATTCGTTAACGAATAATTTAATATGTCTTTTTATCATAATGACAATATAAATGATATGTAATGCAGAAGAACGAAGAACGCACAGCTAATTGAATTCGGTACCTTATAGAAATTTAATTAAATTAAATTAAACAGGTTTCTCATTGTTCTCAAAATTATATGTTAGATAAAGCATTTCACGTCCTTTATTGTTACTCGTTACGTATCACATGTATACCTACTATAAACGCAAATAAAAAAAATAAAAACAAATGTTTTAAAGTTTTTAAATATATTTTTTAATTATTTGTTTAAATTTTCGTAATATTGTATAATATGCATTTTGCACAAATGTCTTAAGCGTCTTTAATACGTATTACATGATGGCGTAAGCACGGATAAATGCTGCGTGTATTGCTCGGCCAAAATAAAATTTCTCCCGTTGCTTTCGTCTCCTTTTACGGCTCACATAATCGTAGCTGTAAAGACCAACGGCGCCGTAAGTCAAACGCGGTCGGAATAATCGTTTCACGCTCCTCACTCTGCAGAGAGATATTTACCCCGCTTCATTTCGGTGATATTATCTACGTGCTTTTTATGTTTCGGAGAAACATTGAAACTTAACTTTTCCATTTTGCTTCATTCGGTATATAATTCTTAGCCAAACTTTAGTAATTCTGGATTATTTACGAGCACGAATAACATGCGATCTGTTTGTACAAGAGGAGATTGTCTACGGAATATTTGCATACGAAAAATATCATTTCTCTCGAAATAATAGTGGCAAAATATTAGCAGGAGCTTTTATGCCAAGTTTGCCTAATATCAATACTCACGAAATCTGCCGCGAAAAGTATTAAAAAAACAGAGGAAACAAAGGAAATCAAGTAACCAATGGCCACGCAAGGGATTCAGCGAAATTTCACGGTGGAGCATGCGGCGAATACGACTTACGTAACGTATTCCTTTTATTCCCATCCCCTTTAGCGGGAATATGTGAAGACGCGAGAGAAAGGGTTTTCGGACGTTTAGGTCTGTGGGGGGACCTGCCGATTCCAAGACCAGCCATTCGCAGTAATCATTATTTACTGCTCGTGAAGAAAAGAGGGACGAGAAGAG